ATATATACATACACATATGTAATAGAGAAAACAGTGGAGATAAGAACAAGTGAAGATAACTAAGGTTATGCTAGAAAATGGAAGAAAAAGAAATTTGCTTTGTTAGAGATATTTGGCTTGAAAAGGGTCCACATTTTAGTAGGATATCCTGAAATAAATATAAGATACAAGGAGTGAGCAACCTTTCCTGTATTTCTAAATTGGATGGACCTTTAGCCAAAAATATAAAAAAAAATTGTGCCTAGAATGGTTCATGAGACTTTGTCAAGGATATTAAAAAAAAAAAAAAAGTCCAAAGAAAATTAGTAGAAAGGCTTAAAGGGAAACTAAGTTGGCCCTGTAATTAAGGAATTGGGTTGCTTGTAGAAGCTATGAGAGGTAATGAGAGGGCTGCTGAGTAGTTCTTTGTCCATTGTAGAGTTTATGCCGGCTTAAGAGTTGCTAGAGATTGAAATGGCTGTGTTGTCCCAGAGGTGCTTCAGTGAAAAAATAGTGTTTTCTTTACCTTGAAATAGGATTTCATGGTTTCATTGTTTGCTGAGTGCTTTCACTTTAATCAGATATGATCTTCATGGAACCTTAAGTGATAATTTGGGGAAATTGTGTCATTTTGGTTTTACATGTAAGAAGCTAACTTGGAAATGTTGAATAATTGGTTCAAGGTGAATATAGAAACTTAAGGACCAGAGAAAGTATTAGTTTCCAGATCAAGGTACCTGGCGTAGCCTGAGCTGAGCTTCCTTGCCCTCATAAATTCTAAACTTCAGTGAGAACAAGGACCTTATCTATTTTATTCACCACTGCATTTCTGTGCCCTCATAAGCACTCATAAAATAGGCACTAGGTAAACGCTGGTCAAGTAAATGAATAAACATAAAAGTAAAGATACTCCCTTTCTAGGGTAGTTATGAGTCAAATAAGAAATAAGGAGAGTGGACAGTTTTTACTTGTGACTTTGTATATTTTAATAGTATTAAAATTGTCTATATGGTGAATATAACTTTTAGAAATATAAGCTAGTGAATATAAATATGAAAACATTTTGGAAATGGTACATTGTTTTAGCTATATTCACACACACACTTAAGTTGCTTTGTAATCATTATTGAAAATAAAAACACTGTGTCTCAACTACCATAGTATATAGAAAAAAACAGGATAAAGAGGCTTTGGAATTTCTTAAAGAATCTAAGTGGCTTGGGATAGTTTTATAAGGAGAAACTAGTAAATTTGAAGCTTGCAGTTCTTCACCCCTCTTCCTCACTTTCCCACCTACTCCTCTTCTCCGTTCCCCTCCCTCCTCCCTCTGCTTTTTTTTCTCCCTTCCTCCTTCTCCACCTGTGTTGGAGATTGAAACCAAGGCCTTGCACATCCTAAGCATGCACTTCTGTGAGCTCCACCTTCTTCCCCTCCAGTGCTTCTTAAAAGTAATCTGAGAACTGTGTGCAGTTTTGCCTCCTGTAACTGAACGTAATTATACGGGAATATACCTTTGTAGAGGCAAAACCATGTGCTTTACTTTAAATAAAGATGAAAAAGAGATCAGAAATGTAAGGTCAGACCAAGGCATGATTGAGACCACCGAGGCAGGCAAAGTCTAAGCAATATGCAATGAGTTTATTGCTATCTGGGTACAGATGGGCCAAGGTCAGGAAGACCATTGGCATGGAGAGGAAAGTGCTTGTGGTTATATGGGGCATTTTAGGTAGGGAAGGGGGCACTGGTCAAGAGGGTGGAAAATTTTAAGAATCCCCTGGGTGATGGGCCTGGGGCTGGCTGATAGCAGGGCCATGGTGAGAGCAGCAGGGCGGCTGCTGGCTTCTTGTTATCTCTGTGCTCCTGTGGATGTGGGTAGCAAGTCTGCTTGGGTGGGGATCTAACTTGGGGGACCTGTTAGGGGGAAATAATTGTGCCTAGAGCTAAGGCTGTACAAATACCATGATTGAACATTAAATTTAGCACTGAGCATCTTAGCAGTTATGGTGAAAGGGAAAAGATAGATGGTAAGGGTCATTTTTCATTGGAAAAGATCACATTTTCTGACTCCAAATTCTAGGAAATGGTCTTTTTTTTTTTTGTACTTTATGTTCCGAAATGTATATCTAATAGAATGTGAGTTTTATTCATTTGGATTATCTGTATGTTTCTGCTTTTGTTTCAGGGACTTGTGCACTAAACTTTACAGCATGAGCTGGGCCAATACACAGAGTTGGCAGGAATTTGACCGCTTCTGTGAATATAATCCAGTGGAAGTATCCATGTTGACCTGTCTAGCAGATGTCCGGGAACCTTGCCAGTTGGGCTGTAGAAATCTTACTTATTGTACTAATTTTAACAATAGGTAAGAATATATTATTATACATGAAATGGAACTATTTTATCATTAATTACATTAAAATACCATTTTACTCTGATTTTATTACTGCAGGATTAAAAGAAAACTGTAGCTGGGCATGGTGAGACATACCTGTGATCCCAGAACTCTGGGAAGCTGAGGCAGGATCCAAAGTCCACGCCCAGCCTGCACAATTTAGGAACTTAGTGAGACCCTGCCCCAAAATAAGAAAGAAAAAAGGTCTGGGGATATAGTTAAGTGTGAAGGCCCTAAATTCAATGTCTAGTACTGAAAAACAAAAACTTTCTTTTTTTTTTTTTTTTTTTGCAGTTTCATCTTTAAATATTATCTTCCATCTGAGAAATCACCTCTCAGGAAGGGAAGCACTATTACAAAGTTCCTTCTAATCTAAAGACGCCTCAGGCTTCTGGAATTCAAAGAATTTCCTCTTCTGTCTCTTCTTTCTACTCCTCCACTGGGGGAAACAATTTATTGCAGAATAAATAATTGTAAACTGTTTAATCATCCAGATGTCCTTCTGAAGACAGGTTGCTTTAAAAGGCCTTCAGATTGGTTGAGGTTCCTGCTCAATGACTCTCAGTCCATACAAAAATTTTTTTTGTTTGTTTCAAAAATATTTCTTTACAGAAGCAATACAAATGGGTGTTTTGCTAAAGTAACTACTAGTAAGAAAAATGAGGCGTTAAGAGCTAAGTTTTGAGCATATCTCCATTTAATGGCTGAGGAAAAAGTAAAGAAAGAGGCATCCAGAACACAGAACAGAACTCTAAATGAGAGAAGCCAAAGAGGGTTGGTTTCTAAAGAAGTGGCTGGTTTTATGAACTGCCACCCCAAGAACAAGAGAGCAGAAGGGAAGAGAATCATTCACTTGGGCCCGAAGGAAGTTTTAAATACTTTTATTGTATATTTACCTCAAGATAATACAATATGGGCCAGGGATTTAGCTCAGTGGCACCACACCTGCCTCACAAGCACAAGGACCTGAGTTCAATCCCCAGTACCAAAAAAAAAAAAAAAAAAGATAACTCGGGCCAGGGATTTATTTAGCTCAGCGGTTCGGTGGCCTGCCTCACAAGCGCAAGGACCTGAGTTCAGTCCCAGGTACCAAAAAAAAAAAAGATAACTCAGTATCCATTTGAAAGTATTTATTAGTTTGAGTAAGACAATTGAGAAATTAATGAAAATAAGTATACAGAAATGCTTCAAAATATCCAGTAGTTAAACAAAATGCTTCTAAATAATCTGTGAGTCGAATAAATCACAAAAGAAATTGGAAAATACTTCCAGCTGCATGACAATGAAAACACAGTATATCAAAAATTGTGGGTCATAGCTTACCAGTGCTTAAAGAGAAAATTATAGTTGTGTGTGTGTGTGTGTTTGTGTGTGTGTGTGTATGGAAAGAGAGAGAGTATGTGTGTGTGTGTGTTGAACCCAGGGCCTTTGTACTGAGCTTCATCCCCAGCCCTTTTTTAAATTTATTTTTACTTTTTATTATTATTTTTTATTTCGGGACCACTTCATCAACTTGTCCAAGCTGGGCTTGAACTCACAGTTGTCCTGCCTTGGCCTCCCAGAGTTCTGGGATTACAGGTGTGCACAATCACACCAACAAGAGCCCATTGATTTTAAGAGGGTAAATGAGTCCTGAGATCAAAAAGTTTGAGAATCCCTAGAATAAATAAATGCCATGTATTTATTTTGCCAGTTTTTTTGAGACAGACTCTTGCTCTGTAATTCAAGCTGGCCTCGAACTCACTATATAGCTCAGGCTGGCCTCAAACTCACGGCCATCCTATTGCCTCAGCCTACTGAGTGTTGGGATTACAGATATGTGCCACCATGCCCAGTACTTTGTGAAGTTTTAAACTGCTTCATCAAAAAATCTGTGTTAAAAAGGAAACATGGGCTGAGAATGTAGCTCAGTGGTGCAGTGTTTGCCTGGCAAGCTGGAGTCCCTCAGTTTGATTCCCAGTACCAAAAAAGAAAAAAACATGTATTACTTTTCTCTAGAAAATAATTGCTGATTGCCTCTTGGTTCTTTTTGTTTGTTTGTTTGTTTGTTTAAGGCCAACAGAACTTTTTAGGAGTTGTAATGCTCAGTCAGATCAAGGAGCCATGAATGACATGAAGCTGTGGGAGAAAGGAAGTATAAAGATGCCATTTATCAATATACCTGTTCTTGATATTAAAAAGTGCCAGCCAGAAATGTGGAAAGCAATAGCTTGTTCACTGCAGATTAAACCTTGTCACAGTAAATCTCGGGGAAGTATTATTTGCAAGTAAGTTTCTTTCATTATATATTTTGCAAGTAAGGCTCTCCAGTTTTGGTCCTCTACCTGAAGGCTGTCTACAATTTTTTCTCCCCGCTTCCCTTTTCCTGTCACCTCCCACTTGTCAAATGCTTTCCCACTTCCCCCCGTCTGCTTGACTTACTGTTTCCTCCATATCCATTTGCTCACTGCCTGCTCCTCTTAGCTGCTCTCAAATACCAGACATTCCTATGGAATGGTTTTCCCCAGCACATGGTTTATCCTTAGTACAAATTCCTATAGACTTTGTGTGTTGGAGGCCGGAGTACTGGGGATCTAACTCAGGACCTTGCACTTGCCAGACAGGTGCAGCACCACCGAGCAACATTCTTGGAATTTAGTTCAAGAAACATTTACTGTAGCTCAGTGGCATAGCACCTGCCTGGTAAGCAAAAGGCCCTAAATTCGATTCCCAATACCAAAAAAAAAAAAAAAAAAAAAAAAAAAAAAAAAAAAATACTAAGAAGAGTTGAAGACAACTCTGTGTGTTTTTGTTTGTTTGTTTGTTTTTGTTTTATAGTACACAGGATTGAACCCAAAGCCTTCACACTGAGCTACATTCCCATCTCACTTTATTTTTCATTTTGAAACAGGTTCTTTGTAACTCACTAAATTGCCCAGGCAGGTTCACATTTGCAATCCTCCTGCTCAGCTTCCCAGAATGCTGGGATTACAGGTGTGCACCACTACACCCCATTTATTTTTGTATCTAATGTAGTACTTGTTTTATATTCTGTTAGGCTTTGCTCTCTTTTAAGGAGTTTATTCTTCTTTGTGTCCTTTTTCTTTTACCATCTTTCTTCTTTTTCTGCTCTTCAAATATTAGCATAATCTTGTGACACAGTAGGTATCCAATAAATGTTTGTTGGGTGAGCTCATGCGTGCATCCTTAGGGCCTGTTTCTAGTAAGAATGGTTTGCTTAGGAAATCCAGGATAAAGCAAAGATCAGAGCCCTCTGGTGGGTGAAACCAGAAGTATTTAACTGCATAGTAATGTTTCAGCTGTTAGTCAAGCATCTTTTTTTTCCAAAAGTTTTTCTTAGACCAAGTTAATATTTAGCTCCTAAATTGCTGGTATCTGGTTTAAATATTGTTGGGTACTTGATGACTCATTTCAGATTATTTCAACCTTAAACAAGGTCTAGGCCTGTTTTCTGACATGCTACAGTAGGGGAGATACCAGGGTACAACTCTTGGGTGACAAGCAGGAGGCAACAAGTAGGAAATATGGTAGACTCAGCACAGAAATCAAATCTCTTTTCAAGACTAGAAAACTTTAAAGTAGTGGACTTTGTAGTTGTTATAAGCCAATACTTTACTGTGGATAACTAAAAAGATAATCTAAAATGAGAAAAGGAAAAAGGAGGGGAAAAGGAAGCAGTTAAGCAAGCATAAGGTTTTGAAAGTAAGGGTATATGATTTTGCAAATATCAAATCAGTTTAGTGTCTAATTTCCTCTCAAAGATCGTGAAAAGCCACATTGATGGCAGGAACAGTAAGTATAAGAAATTTGAAGAAGGCCTTTGATCTCAGGTAAGCAAAAGCTCAATGTGCTTTGAATTTACTGTTCAGCCAGGTTTGCTGTGAGTCCTTTTCTTTTTCACCATACTTAGACCTAACCAATTGCAAAACATAACTAAGTTATGGAAACAATTTCTAACTAGCCATAGTGGTGCATGCTATAAATCCCAGTACTCAGGAGGCTGAGGAAAGAGGTTTGCCACAAGTTTAAGGCCCACCTGTACTACATAGTAAAACCCTGTCTCCAAAAAACAAAGATGGGTCAGAGAAGAAACTCAGTTTCTGGAAAGCTTTAAAAAATGGAAGTGATTTTAACTAGACAACATGAAGTGGTTCCTTGAACCCTAAAATTGTGTGCATTTTTATTTTTAAGATCAGATTGTGTGGAGATTCTTGAAAAATGTGGAGACCAGAACAAATTTCCTGAAGACCACACAGCTGAAAGCATTTGTGAGCTTCTGTCACCGACAGATGACCTGGAGAATTGTATACCCTTAGATACATACCTCAGTAAGTACTGATTTTGTTTTATTTTAGATTTCAAATACTTCTCTTATAATCTCTACCCCTGCTCTTTGTTTTATATGAGCAGCTGTCTTTTGAGAACATGTGGTTCAATGATATCATCTCAATCATACTTTTGGGTGTGGGTACTGAAGATTGAATCCAAAGCCTTTGCACTGAGCTATATCCCTACCTCTTTTTAAATGTTTATTTTGAGACAGGGTCTTGCTAAGTCACTAAAATGCCCAGACTGGGACTCAGTGCCTCAGGCTCCCAAACTGCTGGGATCACAGGTGTGCACCACCACACCCAGAATCAGTCACAGACTCTTGTTTGGCTTTTTTGGCCCCAAAAAATTGTCATCCTAAAATTCATAAGCAAAAGTGATGAGTATGAGAAGGTATGAACTGTTAGCAATCAGGGGCCAGTATTCTCATATATTGTGTTGTCTCCTTGCCATGATGTGACCAGAAACTGAAATTTTCCCCATGGACTACTCAGCTTTTTGTCACCAGAGTGTCAGTGTACCTGTGCCAGGCCTGATTTTCACTTACCCACCCAAAAGACAGTGCAGAGTGGTTGTCTGGGTTCGTACAAGGAAATGGAGTTTTTGTTGCTACGTCGGCTCTCTCTGCCAAGAGCTGCAGAGTAAGTTGGAACTTCATTGAGGAGTTTTGGAGCTGAGCTTCTTGGCAGCAATATAATGATGCAGTGATGAGGGGATAACATGTAAAACTAAACTACACGCTCACTAGATAAGTGAAGCATTTAGGCTGTCAGCAGGAGCATTAGTGCAATGAACTCTCTGGAAAGGGAGCTGGTAAAGCCAACCCTATGGTACTTCCTTTTCCTGTGTCAGGTAAGATTAAGTTCAGCTGCAAAGTACAGGTGTATCTAGTGCCTAGAATCTTGGCCTGGCATGCTGTAGGTACCCAATAAATAAGTGAATGCATGTATTTTTACACTAAATTCACAAATTATGAAAGAATTTAATCAGGCCTTGCTTTATGCCTATGAGCTTTTCATTTATTGCAGCTACAATTCAAATAATTTGCAAACATCTGTTATTCTTCCAAGTTGGCTAAACTGATCTGTTTTGGTTTTTTCCAGGGCCCAGTACTTTGGGTAATATTGTGGAAGAAGTGACTCATCCCTGTAATCCAAATCCCTGCCCGGCCAGTGAGCTCTGTGAAGTGAACCGAAAAGGGTGTCCATCTGGAGAGCCCTGCCTTCCATACTCTTGTGTTCAAGGTGGGTGTGGATCTGACTTTTTTGTCCCTAAGACACAATGCCCGACACCCACAATTTAAAGGAGGAAAGGTTTATTTATTTATTATTTATTAAGGTTCATAGTTTGTAGACATTTCAGTCCATAGTCGGCCGGCTCCAAGGCAGGGTAGCATGGCAGAGAATCGTTCATGACATGGCAGTGGGAAGCAGAGAAAAAGAGAAAGAACAGGAAGAGATAAACACTTCCAAGCCATGCTTCCAGTCACCCTCCTCTTCTGACCAGATCTCACCTTCTAACAAGTCAGCTGCATACTTACCAGTGGTCTGATCCATGATCCAGTCACCTCCCAGAAGCCTCACCCATAAGTGCATGTAGCTTTGGGGGGACAGCTAGACTTACCCTATAACAGGGTGTGGGGTGCCCCTGGGTAGGTGGTGCTGGTGTTGATAGGAGCTGTCTTTGGCATGAGGTTACAAGGTTACAAGGGAATTTGTTTTGTTTTGTATTCTTGCAGTGCTGGGATTGAAAACCAGGGTCTCATGCATAGAAGGCGAGTGCTCGCCCACTGAGCTCTATCCCTAACCCTACATAATCTTTTATTTTTCCAGTTTTTATTTTTTAGTAGTATACATTTGTATTACATAATGATTACATTGTGGGGAGTTGGAACATATACATAACAAATATTAATTCTTTTTTCATCCCCTTCCCCACTTCTTCCCCCTCCTTTCATCTCTAAATCCCCTTCCCATTTGTAAAAGATCTCCCTACTTCCTATTATGTATCTTTTATTTTGCTCTTTATTTGTATTTTGGTTTTCGCATATAAGAGAAACCATTTGATATTTAAGCTTGCATATATAATCTTTAATAGCTGCACAGAACCTATAGGCTTTTTATAAAGTATATCTAATATCATACAACAATACCATCAGCCTTTTATGTATTTGTTCATTTGTTTATTTATTTATTTATTTTGGTACAGGCTGCAAATTAGGAGAAGCTTCTGATTTCATTGTCCGTCAAGGGACACTGATCCAAGTGCCATCATCTGCAGGAGAAGTTGGCTGTTATAAAATCTGCTCCTGTGGACAAAGTGGACTCTTAGAAAACTGTATGGAGATGCATTGTATAGATCTCCAAAAGTCTTGTATTGTCGGAGGAAAAAGAAAAAGTGAGTCTTGAAGTATATTTGTTTTAATTATGATATTAGTTATCTTGACTTTGTTGAAAGTGGTACATATCTGTAATCCTAGCTACTCAAGAGGTACAGGGAGGAAGATGGCAAGTTCAAAGCCAGCCTGGGAGAGTCCTATCTCAAAATAAAAATTTTAAATTGCTGAGGATGTAGGACAGTGGTAGAGTGCTTGCCTAGCATGGTTAAAGCTCTGGGTTCAACCTCCAGTTCTGAAAGGAAAAAAGTCCACCTTTTGTTTACTTTCCCTAATAAGTATCCTGTTTTCCCAGGTTCCTTCCCCATGTTTTTTTTTTAATAACTCTAAGAATTGTTCATGTCAACATATGATTTCACAAATTGCGAAAAAAATACCACTTTGGGGTCTTTTTGTGGGGTTTTTTTGGGGTTTTGTTTTTTTGTTTGTTTGGTTTGGTTTGGTTTGGTTTTGGGTTTTTAAGATAGCATCTATATACTCTAGGCTGGCCAGAACTCTTGATCTTACTGCCTCAGCCTCCTACCTGCTAGGATTATAGATGTTCACTACTAAACCTGTCAAAAATACCACTTTTGATGATTCACTTCCTCTGCACATGTGCATTTTGTTGCCATACCTCTACTCCCAGTTTTCATAGTAGTTTAGCTTTTTACACTTCATGTTTACTCTTATTGGAAAGAAGATTGCTCTTAGCTAAAAAGAGCTTGAAATTTTTCTATTCTAGGACAAGTCAGGTATTTGTTTCTTAGTCCATAGTCTACTTGTCTAAGACAGGAAGAGCTAAGTGTGGTACACATGACTGTAGTCGCAACATTTGGGAGGCTGAAGTAGGAGGATCACAGCAAGTCGGAGACCAGCCTGGGCTCCCTGGTGACTTTAGGGCCAGCCTGAACTACATGGCAAGATCCTGTCTCAAAATAAAGGAAATTAGTTACCTTGTATTACAGGAAATATCTGAAGACAAACAAGTTTATTCTTTGTATACATGCTTACTGACTAAATGCCTATTCTGTACTAGTGCCTTGTTGAGCTGAAGCTGAGAGGGTAAGATTGTGCTTTGTTTTATATGGTAAATGGGAGAGAATTTGAGCCATAGAAAGTTACATACAGTGTAACTGTATGTGGAGCCATTTGTTTCTGGCAGGACATCAGGAGCGTCTTCAACCCAAAATTGCCATCGGGTCTGGCCCTGGAAAGATGAACAAAGGTCCAGAGGAGGAAGGAAACATTTGAGGCAGTAGTACAACCAGAAGCATTCTTAGAGAACACACGGCAGCCTGCTGTGACTAGCATATTACAGGCCCAGAAGAATGCAGTGGGAAGTGAATACAAAAATATAAATATCTCAGATTTAACTCCCCAGCTTGTCTATTCAGAAGTCATCTTTCAAAAATTTTCATTTTAAACTGGGCATGGTGGCATGAGTATGTAATCCAGGCACTCTGGAATGCTAAGACAGGAGGATTGCCTAGGTCTGAGGCTTAGATTTGAGCCCAATTTAATGACTTAGCAAGACTGTCTGAAGTCTTGTTGGGGGTAGTTATAACTCAGTGCAAAAGTCTTAGGTTCAATACCCAGTATTACCCTCTCCCCAAAAAAAATCCATTTTAAAACTTTGAGCTGGGTGTGGTAGCATGCACCTGTAATTCCAGCACTCAAGAGACTGAAGTAGCAGGACTGCCAAGTTCGAGGCCAGTCTGGACTACATAGTGAGACCCTAAAAAAACTAAATAAATAAATAAAACTTTTTGAACTATCAAATTTTTAGTCTGTTTTATTTCTTAACATATAATATAGATTGCTGTTTTCTTCCTCTTTCTCTGAGGTCATGGAACATTCTTTAATATCGACTGCAATGTCTGTTCTTGTTTTGCTGGCAATTTGGTGTGTTCTACCCGCCTCTGCCTCAGTGAGCACAGTTCAGAAGATGACCGCCGCACCTTCACAGGTGACCACGGTACCCGGAGGCTGTTGTTTAGGGGGCTGTCGTTGGTGGGGGCAGCATAACTCTGCACATCAATTTTCCCTTCTGGTCTTGCTTTAACTGCAGATTTAGAACTGTAAAATCAATATAGAATTGGAGCACAGGATTCTATCCCTTTCTGGATTCAGTTTCATCCTGTACAAATAGAAGACATTACACTAAGTGGTTTCTTAGGGCCCTTCCAGCACTAATATTCTGGGACTTCATGAGTCAAAAAGTACAGAGCCAATGACTGGCGTGGTTTCAGTTAAATGGACCTTTCCCACCTGGTGAAATACCATTTATCGTATCACTGTAGTCTAAAGTGTCCATGTATTCTCTAAGTTTTCTCAGTCTTCTTTAAGCTTCCTGGTTCACTTAGGCTTCCACAAACATTAACATCCCAGAATATTACTTCCTGACTTGACCGTGCTCTGCCCTGGTGTTACACTCATCCCAGTCCTGACAGGTATAAAACCTGGTGAAATGGGATGTTTTCGAGCTGCAGTTGCCACCAGCAGCAGCCCAGTCAACTGATGTCTCTGGGTATTTGCTTTCTTCCAGATCGGAAATACTTTTGGTTCATCAGTTAAAGTGGCACTAGGTAGCTGCCTTGTCCCCCATTTCTTGCTTCTGCGTTGGCAACTTAATTGTTCTTTCCTTGAGCTTAGACGTATACATGGAGAGTGGTAGGATTGTGTAGGGAGGACAGGAAAAGGATTTACCAACCCTGTACCTCCATCTCATTGAAGTAGAAAGAAAAGTCAACAGCAGACTGATGGGGAAGTAGGAGCAGGCCAACTCTACTGCAGTGAGGACCAGCCTTCACTGCCTTATCTTTTACTGATGTCCTTTGTATGCTCTGCTCTGATGAGGACAATTCATCCTGCTTAGAGAACCTATAAAGAGATGTGGGGCTGATGAGTGATCTAAAGATGTACAAGGAAAACTTATTTATTGCCAATATCTCGATGTTTTTGGAAGGTGAATTTTACAGTTAATAAGACCTTATTCTCTAGTGTGTGGCCTTTACTGTCTTGGAATAAATTAAGCCAATGACTGTTTAACTGGCAGACTCTAAGGGAATTCTACTGGTCCCAAACTGTACCACATTTGTGTGACTCAGTGTCCCATTCCAAACATGTCTCTGAAAGAGATAGTCATAAAACCTTTGTCGAGGCAACTAGGGACTGAATCCAAGGCCTTCACATTGAGCAACACCCCCAGCCCTTTTTCTTTCTTTCTTTCTTTCTTTCTTTCTTTCTTTCTTTCTTTCTTTCTTTCTTTCTTTCTTTCTTTCTTTCTTTCTTTCTTTCTCTTTCTTTCTTTCTCTTTCTTTCTTTCTTTCTTTCTTTCTTTCTTTCTCTCTTTCTCTCCCTCTCTTTCTTTCTTTCTTTCTTTCTTTCTTTCTTTCTTTCTTTCTTTCTTTCTTTCCTTCCTTCCTTCCTTCCTTCCTTCCTTCCTTCCTTCTTTCTTTCTTTCTTTCTTTCTTTCTTTCTTTCTTTCTTTCTTTCTTTCTTTCTTTCTTCTTCTTCTTCTTCTTCTTCTTCTTCTTCTTCTTCTTCTTCTTTCTTTAAACAGGGTCACACTGAGTCACTGAATTATACAGGCTGCACTCAAACTTTCCAACCTCCTGCCTCCACGTTGCAGCACCACTACACCCATCTGACAATTACACTTTGCACATCTTAAAATTATAATAATTTTTTAATGTGTTTCTTCCCTTCAGGTCTGCCTTGTAACTGTGCAGATGAGTTTGTCCCTGTGTGTGCACAGAACGGACGCACTTACCCCAGTGTCTGCATTGCTCGCTGTGTGGGTCTCCAGGACCGTCAGTTTGAGTTTGGGTCATGCATTTCAAAGGATCCTTGTAATCCTAATCCCTGCCCCAAAAATCAAAGGTATGTCAAATGGCTACTTCTTTTTTAAAACCAAAGTGCAGCACACATAAGATGTATGCCATGCATGTACGAGACAGTAAAAATACAAAGGTGAGTTCAGAAGTGGTCTCTTTCCCAAAGACTGTGAAATCTGGAGAGAGAGATAGACACATAGGACTGCTTGACAGTGTGATGGGGAGCCCAGATGTGGGGCAGTTAATGTAACCTTGGAAGGAAGGACTTTGGGAGAGTGACACTCGGGTGAATGTGGGGAGATGAGTGGGAAATAGCAGGCAGGGTTATGAGAGGAAAGCTGGCGTGGGGAAACCCAGGCCTCAACATCTAGAGTTGTAGGTGTTGGAAATGAGGAAGTAAGTGGGGACTGCTGGGAGCTCTGCAGTTATGTGAGACTGAAACAGAATAACATTAGGAGAGGTAGCAGGTGAAACAAGAAATAGATACAGCCTTACTAGCTATTTATGTCTGATAGTGAAGGGAAATTTTATCCTAGTGTATGCCTCCATTTTAGGAGCAGGACATGAGAAACCTCAGGAAAGGCAACTTATGTGTTATTTTAAACTATCTGGTTTTGGGCTCCCTTCTTTGCAGTTCCTCCCTGAGCCCAGAGGACACTTGCCTTGGCCTCAGTGAGTTTCTCCATGTGGTGGCCAAGGGCAAGGGTATGGCTGGCTGGTATTTCAGTCTTCCGGAACTAGAGTTTCTAGTGGCCGCCTGAGAGACCTGAGCAGACCTCATCCCCGTACCACAGGCCTTTCTTTATGAGGAATTTTGTGGACAACAAGCAAACCCTAGTTCAGTGTGGAGGAAGGAGAAGATTTTCTCCTGTGCAAATGAAATGGCAGAGACTTGCCCACCCATCTGCCAAAGTTTAGACGATGAAAACTAAGCTGAGAAAGTTACTATGGAAAGAAGACAGGATGTCATATGGAAGAAATAAGCCAAAAAGATAATATACACTGTGTTGGTATTAGAATTGGGCTATTTTGGTGTTTGTTTTTCTCACTGGCTAAACTTTCTGAGTAGTTTATTGCTTTTATAATAAAACCATGAAAATAAATTTCAAAGTAGAAAGACTTTTCTGGATATAATACAAAGCAATATAAAAGAAAAGATTAGGAAATTCAGCTAAATGAAAATCAAAATTTCCTGTATGGTAACAGACAGATAAACTGGGAAGAATATCACAAGAACTGCCATCCTTACAAAGAGTCAATATGAAAACCATAAACCTGAGTAAAAAGGGGCAAAGATCAGTAACCTAATGGAAAAATGGGCTTGGAAACAAATACTTGAAAGATGGTCATGGTTCTTTAAACACTTTTAAAAAAGCTTTTATTTGTTAGGATAAGTAACTCTAGATATTTTATACAAATGTCATTACTTTTACATAGACAGTAAAATGAAATACATTTTTTTACTACAACCACAACTAACTGCCAGGAAGACTGAGAAATGTAATCTAGATGTATGCCCCTAAAGAAAGTAAATGAATTTGCCTGGTCGTGGTGTATGCTTGGAATCATAGCCCTTGGGAGGGTGAGACAGAGGCTCTTGAGTTCAAGGCCAGTCTGGACTACAGAGTGACTTTGTCTCAGAAAAAGAAAAAAGAAAAGAAAAGAGTAATGAATATATGGCCAGATGGCTCTAATGCTTAAGCTACAGTTGTTTGCCATTTTCCATCATTTGGGAAAATAGCTACTGTCATATACAAGGGTCTTGGGGAGGAGTGCTGTGTCCTCTCTGGTAAAGCACTTTGGCCCAGTCAAGTTTTAAATGCATATACCCTTTGAATCAGCACATAGAAATGCTTACAGAATGTCTCTGGAAGGATAAATAATAAATTGATAAGAGTGGCTGTCTCTGAGAAAAGGAACCTAGGTGGCTGGGACACAAGAGTAGGAGTGAGACTTCATTTTTAGTGTCTGCCATTTTGTTCATTTCACCATGGACTTGTATTAATCTGTTCAAAAAGTAATTGTTTAAAAAAGAAAGATTGGCGGGTGTGGTGGTGCATGCCTATAATCCCAGCACTGGAGGCCAAGGCAGGAGAGTTGCCCTGAGTTTGAGGCCAGCCTGCTCTATACAGTGAGTTCAAGGCCAGCCTGAGCTACATAGTGAGAGCCTGTCTCAAAAAACCAAAAAGATTGTATTCACTCATCAAGTCTGTGCTGATGGACCAGACATTTTTCCTAGTGATAGAACACAACAAGCAAGACGTATCTGCCCAATCATTTCACTTGCATTTGCCCCACAGATTCTCAGCATTTCCCTGTAATCCTCCTGTTTCCATATACTCGAGTTGACCATTTTTCCTCCCAACATTACCTGTAATCTCACACATTCCTTGTTAATAGATAATGAAGTTCTAAATACTCTTTCCCGTCATTCCTCTTCAGACACCTTACATTTCCATGAAACCCCTAAGTGCATTTTAACTTCAAGTCACATCAATAAAGGCAACCACACATAAGCCTTTAGTACAGGCTTATCCCTAAAAAAAAAGAAAAAAGAAAAATCCCTTTGAAATTAATATGATACTAGCTACTATATTCCTCCTCTTTGTTTTATAGACTGATATTTGTATATTATTATTTCAAATGTCCAGTAAAAGCTAAAAATTTTCATAAGTCTTCTGTAGGAAGTTACATGTGCCTCTTAAAAACTTAGGAGGGCAGAAAAAAATCTAAAGCAGAGATATCACCTTCAACCTTCTGAAGGTTTCAAGAGCTGAGAGGAAAGTAAGGCCCAGACTTTACTAAGAAGGACCATGGGGGTGGCATTCTCTCAGTGGTTGCACCCAGCCAGTTTTAACCACTCAAGTGTTATCAGCACAGAAACTTGGGAATTTTACAACAGAATGAAGCCTTTTATCAAGATGCTCACATTAGCCAAGCTGAAAACTCAGCACTTCAAAATGTTCCATTTGTTACTGAGACTCTGGATTCAGACCCCAGCCCATGTGTTAGCACAGGACATCTGTCCCATGCATATATCCTTGGCTCCTGCTCTCAGGGTCACCTGCTGTTTCCCAAAGATCGCATCCTCAGGCACACTCCTTGTTCATGGCTGCTCTTTCAGCTTGGCCTGCTGGGCAGCCTTTTTGCTGGCAGGCTCCAGTTAGGACACCTGCTCCCAGTGCCTTCCCTGGGTTCTCAGTCAGTATCATTTCCCGCCCTGTAAGCTGCCACATGGGTATGCTTGACTCTCTCAGTCAGCATAAGCTCTGTGGGGGCAGGACTGTTTCAGTATACCTCTTCTTTGTCCTCAACCCCTTGGCCTCCAGCCCCACCACAGTCCCACCTTATGATCCTGCATTCTTGTTTTTCAGGTGTGTATCCAAACCCCAAGTCTGCCTGACGACTTTTGATAAATTTGGTTGTAACCAATATGAGTGTGTGCCAAGACAGCTCTCCTGTGACCAGGTCCAAGATCCTGTTTGTGACACAGACCACATGGAGCACAATAATCTCTGCACATTATACCAAAGAGGAAAAAGCCTCTCTTACAAAGGCCCATGCCAGGTGTGTTGTTTGTGTGACAAAACAAAGTGGACTGGGCATAGAATTGGTGGTCCCTGGCAGATGAGTCCGTAGTAGGACCACCCGAGGGTCTTCTGTGAACCCTTTCAAATCAATAAAGAGAGGAGCGACTCCTTTTCTAACCCTGGAAGGCTGACTGGCCAGCATATGAGCAGCCCACTCTCAGGAAAAGAACTAATGCCATTTCCCTCCCATCATTCTGTGGGTCCTCACTAGAAAACAAACCAGGTACAGTAGAGGAAGATGACTTAAAACAAGCAAAGAAAGAGTTTTTGCATACTTCCCATCACTGTCAAGCCTTCTACAATACTAAAAAGTGATTGGAATTTTTGGTTTCTACATTTTAAGTCAACTTTTACCTCTCAATCTTTTAAGATTGTGGAATCTGCATTTCTGTTAAATAAATACACCCAAGGACAACCCCTTAGAGGCTTTCCACCTGCACCACTGATTTCATGCTGGCCTCTCTCCTAGGGGAGTCCCAACTTTGGGCCCCACATCTCCTGCCCACAAGCCCCTAACAGCTGACGGGAGTGCTTCTCATCCCCAGATCTTCAGGGTTAGAAAACCCCCGTCAGTTTGTCTGCTAGGCCTGTTTTCCTTCAAAGTTGTGTTCCATTTGCATTGAAAGGATCTATTCCGCATTTTCAGCCTTCTCTTCCTACTTGTTCCTTCTTTCTGCCTATGACTTAGTTTTCTTTGATATATTCCTAGCCCGCCTGATGGCCAGGACCGGTCTGGTCTGCCCACTGACCTCTCCACTCTTCCCTCCTCTTCCATATCCAGCCTGGAAGGGTAAGGCCCTGCATCTGGATGAAGATCAGTCTTGTTCTTTTCAAGCAGACATTCTGAGATACTGAGAAATCTGGGCAGAGGGAGGAGATGATAAGAGGGGATATTTTTATTTTGTGGTGGGATAAGCGTCTGTGGCACTGAGAGGCTAAGAAAAGTATGTCATCTTTTTAGTTCATCTTGAGACGGTTCTGTGGCCTCCCACTCCCCACTTAACCCACCTCAGGAGCTTACAAGGGTCCCCACATTGTATCTGTGTCTTCTCCTTTCTGAAAGTAGGGAGGTATGCTCTTTACTCTTGGCTAGGAAAGGTTTACCAGAGTCTTCAAGCCTAAATGTGACTTGTGTCCCACAGCCTTTCTGCACAGCCACAGAGCCTGTCTGTGGGCACAATGGTGAGACCTTTCAGAGCATGTGTGCTGCCTACTCGGACCGTGTGGCAGTTGACTACTATGGGCCCTGCCAGGCTGTTGGGGTCCTCTCGGAATACAGCTCTGTTGCCGAGTGTGCTGCTGTGAAATGCCCTTCGCTCTTGGCTGCTGGTTGCAAACCCATCATCCCACCCGGTAGGCTGCCCAGATTTGGGGTGGGCAGGGATGCAGTTGGAAAAAAAAAAAGGTTGGCACTAGTTTGTTTGAATTTTTCAAAACTCTTGAAAAGACCCCTATGCTGATTAGATACATCACAGTGAGTTGACCTCAGAAGGTTGTGGATTGCCTTAGGTATCATGTGGGCCTTTGTTTTATTTTGTTTTGTTTTGAGACAGAATCTTACTATGTAGTCCAGGCTGGCCTCAAACTCATGGCAATCCTCCTGCCTCAGCCCCCCGAGTGCTGGGATTACAGGCATGTGCCACCATTCCCAGCTTTGATCTGGTTTTTTAAACAATATGGAGAACCCTTCCTCAAGCAGAATCTTATAGCAAACACCAATATATTAAAAGGTAAAGTAGGATTTAATTACTAAAATTAGGGTTATCAGTTTTTTGGGGGGTTTGTTTGTTTGTTTGTTTGTTTTGTAGCACCAGGATTGAACTCAGGACCTTAAGCTTGTGAGGTGGGTGCAGCACCACTGAGCTAAATCCCCAGCTTTAATATTTACTTTTTTATATTGTCTACTTTTAAAGTTAGAAGCAATAGGGCTGGGGATTTAGCTCAGTGGTTCTACTGCCTGTCTTGTAAGCACAAGGACCCTGGTTCAATCTCCTGTACCCCAAAAAAAAAAAAGTTAGAAATAATAAACTAGTAATTAATGAATAATAAAAACATTTTTGATGAACACATTTGAAGTTGAGAAAAACAGGAGAAAGTTACTATCTTAGATTGGCCTTGGCATTTAATTTAATTTAATTAAACAGGAAAGTCCAGTTTCATACAGAAGATTGAAAGCAGTAAGTTTTACTAAGCAGCTTACCTTACAGACTCACACTCTATGGTTAAACAGAGATAGCAGAAGGATCTTTAATCCCAGTCTGCATAGAACAGGTGAATCTGGAGGCTACTTTCCTCCATCCATCAGTCCAGCAGTTGTTTACTGAGCTTCCTCTAAGGGCCAGACAGTCTTGCAGCACTGGGGTGCCACAGTGAGCTTTTTTCCTCCTGAAGGCCAGGAGAGGTAACAGGTTACTGTGCAAACCCATTCTGTCTTTTGGCAACAGACATGAGGCAAAATCAAAGTAGATAGTGAATCATCACTGGTCATTCAAGAGATGCAGATGAAAACAACAGAGATTCCACCTCACCCCACAAAGAATGGCTGCTATCAAGAAATCAACCAATAACAAATGTTGGCGGGGTTGTGGGGAGAAAGGAACCCTTCTCCATTGTTGGTGGGAGTGCAGACTGGTGCAACAACTGTGGAAATCAATATGGAGATATCTCAAAGAGCTGGGACTAGAGGTTCCATTTGACCCCGCCATCCCTCTGCTGGGTATCTTTCCAAAAGAATTAAAAGAATCATATCACAGGCTGAGGCAGGAGGATCGCTGTAGGATCGCTGTGAGTTCAAGACCAGCCTGGGCTACCTAGTGAGGTTTAGGTCAGTCTCAACTACATAGTGAGACCCTGTCTCAAAAAACAAAAAACAAACAAAAAAAAAAAGATGGGGGAAATGAAACATAAAAGAAGATGTAAATTCTAAAAAAAAAAAAAGTTAAATTATAAAACAATGAGGAAAAGAATCATATCAGTGATATATGCGCACCTGTGTTTATAGCGGCACAGTTTGTTTTTTGTTTGTTTGTTTGTTTTTTGCTTTTTGAGACAGGGTCTCACTGTGTAGTTGAGACTGACCTGGAACTTACTATGTAGCCCAGGCTGGTCTCAAACTCACAATCCTCTTGCCTCAGCCTCCCAAGTGCTGGAATTACAGACGTGTGCCACCATGCCCGGCTCTGTAGCGGCACAGTTTGTAATAGCTAAAACTTGGAAACAGCCCATGTGCCTATCAGTTGGAGACTGGATAAAGAAGATGTGGTTTTTCTATACAATGGAATACTACTCAGTCATAAAGAATGAGAAATTAGAGTTATTCATAGGAAAATGGATACATACTGAGGATATACTCCTAAGTGAAATAAGTAAGTCACACATGTATAAATACTGAATAGTATCTCTGGTTTGAAAAACTATAATGGTACATAAGATCCTAATGATATAATTAACATTGTGAAATAGGAAGAAAAGGGCTAAAGATGTAGGGGAAGTGGGAAGGATAGGGGAAAGGTAATAAGGGAGAAAAATATGAGAAAATGAAAAAATGGAAATAAAGTATCTGTAAATGGGAAGGGTAGGAGGGGGTGAATGGAGGGCAGGGATAAGGGTAAAAAATGAGAACCAAGACCTGTCATGTAAAGATACAAAATCCCAGTGATGAATGTAACTGTACTGTACACCTAAAATGTACCGATAAACTCAATGAGAAAAAAAAAAGTAGGTAGTGAAGGCTCATGCCAGAGAGGTCACTAGTAATGGACTGGTTAGTGATCTCTGTTGTGTTAAAATGTGGTATAATAGCCAGGCATGGAGGCACACACCTATAATCCCAGCATTCAGGAGGCTGAGGCAGGAGGATCACCATGAGCTCAAGGCCAGCCTGAACTACATAGACCTTATTTCAAGTAACCCCCCCAAAAATATGGTATAGTACTATATTTGATTGTATCATATCTTGTTAAGGTTTTTCAAACAGTGTAAGATAGTTTTGAAAATGAAAAGTGAAGCAAATACTCATGGAACCCTTGAAACACCAGTTCCCTTATATTGCAGACAGAAAAACAAAGACCCAGTAATTTTGAGACCGGTGTGGTCAGGCCCTGTACTCCTGAAAGGCCACTGTCTCTGTGTACTGTTACTCCACAGCCTCTTGCTGCAGGCCATGCTGAAGGGAGGCCTTTGTAAATGCATGGATTATAAAATCCAAGGCTGATCAGGGAACAGCTCTGAAGGTACAGACATCAGGAGAGCAGTTGTGGCCCAGAATGAAGGGTTGATCACCAGCCATTTTAAATTCCTTGTTTAATTCTGAACACACATAAAATGGTTTCTTTTACAGGTGCTTGTTGCCCATTATGTGCTGGAATGTTAAGAGTTTTATTTGACAAAGAAAAACTGGACACTATTGCTAAGGTAAATTGCCTGATATGCCAGGTGCTATTGAAACCTTATTGCTGCAACTCTTAAGAATTCTGGAAAGCAGATTGTGTTGTCCCCATTTATAGATGAAGAAATTAATCCTCAGAAAAACAATTGCTAGCCAGTTATGCTAGCACACGCCTGTAATCCTAGCTACTTGGGAGGCTGAGGCAGGAGGATCTCAAGTTCAAGGCCAGCCTGGGCAACTTAGCAAGAGCCTATGTCAAAATAAAATGAAAAGGGTTGAGCACAATACTCCATAAGTTCAATCCCCCATAGAGGGATGGGGCGGGTAGCAACTTGCCCAAGGCCCTACAGCTCCTATCAGTAGAACTAGGGCTGGCTGTCTCCCAGTTTGTGCTCCTTCCTGCCATACCCTGACTCTGTGGTCAGTCAGCCTGAGACTGGCAGCTGAGACTAGCAGATGCCCGGAGGGTTGCAAGGTCACCTCCCCTCACACCAGCCCGTTTCTCCAAGGGGACCTTCTAGAGCCCGATGCCTTCCCTGGGTACTTTTGCCCCTTTCTCTTCTGCACCGTCATGCTTTGCAGTTTCCATTTGTAGAGACAGAGCTCCAGGATTGTAGCAGCCAACACTTGCCACTACCTAGAGAATCCCTCCCATTTTTATTAAAACACCTCTATAGACTGTCCCTATAGCCTCTAACTCAGAACAGTCACTTTATAAAAGCCTTTGGTGAGTATTTATCTTGGCTGCAAAGCCCCCAGGCTGCCAGAACCACCTTGTATGGAGCCTGCAGCCTTAGGACTTGGCCCAGCGGAGCCTGGTTAGGCCAGCACCACAGGGTTTCTTGGTGAAGGGGCCTCCTCAGTGGGCAGCTGAAGCAGGGTAGCGAAGGCTATAAAAGGTAATTCTCCTTTCCCAGTAACAAAACGTTCTCTTTGTCTAGGTGACAAACAAAAAGCCAATAACAGTTCTGGAAATACTTGAGAAAGTCCGCATGCATGTGTCTGTCCCACAGTGTGACGTGTTTGGATACTTCAGCATTGAGTCTGAAATTGTGATCCTGATAATTCCTGTTGATAACCACCCGAAAGCTTTGCAGGTGGGACTCAGCACACATTGTGCAGCCATCTTGTCACTCCCAGGTTTGGTGAATTTGAGAGGGATGCACAAACCCGGTCTGGGAAAGGATAGGGGCTGGGTGAGAAGAGCATTTGGGAAGGTTGGAAGGAGAAAAGCAAGGCAGTCTCTGGGGGACTAAGCATTTGCCAGGCAGCTGAGGCCTAGAACACATTTGATGGTGCAGTGCAGAGGTGTCGGGGAGGGGATAGGTTAAGTTCCTGTGACTTGGTGTGCAGAGGTAAAAGGGACCTAAGAAACGGTTGGGTCTAATCTACCCATTGTGCGGATGAGGCAGCTGAGGCCTAGGGAAGAAGGGACTGGCACAGGTCATGCAAAAGCCGGTTACAAAGCCAGAGTAGACTGGTCTCCTTAGAGCCATGTTCCCAATATGGAGGAAGATCCCATCAGATCGGTCTTATTGGCTCTAATTTTTCTTCCTCACAGCATGTGGAACCTCATCCAAGTAAGCCCAAGTTTTAGCATCAAAGTAGTGAGAACTCAAGTGAAGGGGATGAATGTAGGCAGTTTTGTGATTCACTATCATGTTTACAGAAGCATTGAGCATACATTCTCTAGGGCTGTTTTTAACCATGGAAAGATGATCTCCAAGTGTGGATAAGCAGCTGGGTGTGGTGGCACATGCCTGCAGTCCATCTGCCTGGGAGGCTGAGGCAGGCCACATAGACCCTAACCCATCTGGAGAAAAACACAAAAAGGCCTTTTTTGTCTTGGGATGTAATCCAGTGATAGACTGCATGCCTAACCTATATAAGGCCCTGGGTTTGATCCCCAACACCATAAAGAACCACAGAATAAATAAATGTGAACGAGCAGTGAGCAGTATTGTAGGAAAAGGAAAGCAGTGGACGGATTAGGGCAGTGGCATTGTGGATCATTTCTTTTCTGATTTCCAGTAATGCAATTATATCTATGCAATAAATTAAGACTATGTAAAATGTCACTCTGCATAAGAAAGACGGGCAAAGCTGATTTCCACTGGGGCCACATTATTTTGGGGATATAGGTGGAATTTGTCTGACTTAACTTGTTCATGGATTTATGGCTTTGTATTAAAAAGATGTTATTTTTTTCCTCCCAGATTGAGGCCTGTAATAAGGAAGCAGAGAAGATTGAATCCCTTATCAACTCGGATAGCCCCACCTTGGCGTCCCATGTCCCTCTCTCTGCCCTCATCGTTTCCCAGGTGCAGGTCTCCAGCAGCCTGCAATCTGCAGGCATCAGAGTCCTTCCTCCCTGCCACCTCCTCCTCCTCCTCAGCCTGGGCCTCGCCTTGCACATGCTCTGGATACAGCCCTGATGCACACGTGTACACAGGGTGCACAGTGTCCCTCAGCCCGACTCTTCTACCTTGTGAGCGATATTCAGGACTACTGGTCGGTAGTCGGATCGTGGCCAAGCAAAAGCACATGTCACCTCTTTTCACCACACAGTATTTTTTTAATTGCAAATATTGGTAAGGTTTTTGTCCTGTTTTTACAAATGTTAATATTCTCTCAAGTGCTAAGGAAAGAGGGTGCCTCTTTGTGGTGATCACTGCCTCATGATTTACATTTTGTTCAGTGGATGGGTCCTCCACTCTAAAACAAATTTAATATCACTAGTAATGATTGCTGCGTAGAAGAAGAACTCACTTTGCTGTTGGGTACATATCACAAAAACTTCATTTCAAAGTTCGTTAAGTGCTGTTTGCCCTTGTATTTGTTTTTGTGTACTAATGCTACCTTCTGTATCTAGAAGCAGGGGTGGGCTGGCTGGGCAACAGCCACTGCTATTAGCATGAAGTAAAAACAAAGCTTCTTTGAAATTACCATATAAATCATTGGGTAGATTTAAGTTAATTTACAGAAATTTAATTCAGGACCCCATCTACTGTATAAGCTGACACTCCTACAATGATATGTTGTAAGTGACAGTCTTGGCCGTCACTGATTTGTGCCTAGGTTTTCTTTAAAAGGGAAAGGTTACATTTCATCAAAACATCATGCAATTTTATATTAAAACCAGATATATATTCTTTGGTATTCATGGACTTAAGTTTAGAGTTGTTAAACATCAATCTTTAAACCAGTTGCTGCTACTTTATATAATTGCCAAAAAGTTAAATACTTAGTAGTTCATGTAAATAATACATGATTATTCTATTTTATTATGAAGAAGGTGAATAGCCATATTTGTAAAATGACAATCATGTGTGTTAATGCAGTACTTTCCGTTCACAAAGACACATTTGCTTTTTGTGATGTGCACAATGTAGATAAATGTTCTGTCTTTCTATTTTGATATAGAATTATAAAGAATTGTGGTTTATATATTTAAAATATCAAGCTATTAAAATTTTTGCATGTCGTCTAAGAAATTGGATTCTTTGAATGTGTTTCACTGTTTGAAATAAGCTATTCAGTGTAATACTTCTTGTTTGTATGCACCTAAACTTAGTTTTTACATGAAGTATTTTTTCAGTATTACATGTACCCTCTGAAATATATAGGGATATGCTTATTATACCAAAATGTTTTGAAAAGTGGGCACTTAAAGCTTTCAGAGTATTTCAGTATTTCTGATGTAGCATGCTTGTTGCAATTGTTTATTTCTGTATAAATGTCTTCAATGCAATATACTAGAAAGCTTTCCTATTTTAATAAAAATAATTTTATATCATCAAGCATACTTCCAAGCAATATGAGCATTATTCACAATGAAGCAACTGATCACCCTTGGTCTGAGCTGTGTCCTTTGCTCTCTGATAAATTTCTGAAGTCACAGAGTTTTACTCTCCCAAGCCAATGACCCTAGAACAGAGCAGACCCAGGCGTGGCCAGAAGGCAGGCAGTGGCAGTCAAGTACACAGAGCCTGGCTTCAGTCCAGCCTTCAGGACTGGAAGGGCTGTCTCCAGCAGTGGTGCTGCACTTACGGCACACATGCGTGGGCTGTTTGTGTCACTGCAAGGCCCTAAAGGATTTGCCGTCATTGGGCAGGTAGCTGTACTTCCCACCCCCCGGTCTCCAGTCCCAGGGATTATTCCAGGCAGCTTGGACACAGAAGTTTGAGGACGAAGGACCCATCATGGAAGAGGTCGTGTCTGACAGCTTAGGCTACATCCCCCAAATCGGAGAGACTTCTGTCGTGTTCCCACCCTGCAGGCCAGCATGGGTCAGCTGCGGCTCTTCACACCGTCTTCACTCCAGGACCCTTTCCAGGGTCCTCATAGAAGAGACTCCGGGACAAGCTGGCTCTGAAGGCTCTGCATGCTCTGCTCAGAAGTGACATTGTCATTTCTGTCACCAAGCCATGTGGCTCCCCAGAGTCCAAAGGGTACTGATGTAGATCTTCCATGGTGGTGTGTGCATTATGGGTGTGGGCGGGGTAGTTTGAATAACACAGTCTACCCTAGAGGGGTTTCTTCATCAGACTCTGACAGCCAGGACCGACTGGATCTTCTGTTACAAAGGCAGGAGAAGGGAAAGAAAGAGCTAAAGGTTGGTCTTGTTCTGGGTGCACAATCATGAAAATTCCAGAAATGGTAGTGGGAGAAAGCTTCGGCCAGTTCTGGGAGATAATGTCTCTAGAGTGCTAGCTGCTTTGGTGGACACGGAGCCAGGCATGGTGGTGCACACCTGTAATCCCAGCACTCAGGAGGCTGAGGCAGGAGGATCGCCATGAGTTCTAGCAAGAACTTTCTAGCATGGATTACCAAGACTGTCTCCAAAAAAAAGATGGGGGCTGGGGATTTAGTTCAGTGGCACTGCATTTGCCTTGCGAGCACAAGGTCCTGAGTTCAATCCCCAGTACCCCCCCACACACAAAGATGGAATGGGTTTCCTATAAGAAAGAATTCTATTCCTAGAAGACACCTCCTGTTGAATGTGTCCTCTGCGGCATACGCATCTCCCTGCCAGGCCATTATTGCCTGAACCACTTCAACCTGTAACCCTCAGAGGTCTCCCCCTCAGGCCAGGCACACACCTGTACGTAATGGCCAGCACATCCCACTAACAACTGGTGAGGTGCAAATTCAGAAAGACTTACGGAAATGTGAAATATCCAAAGTGCCTGATTCTAGAATAATTCTTATACCCAGAGAGAAAATGACAACAAAGCTCAGGAGTGATTATGAGTGAGGAACTGGAAACTTGGAGATTGTGCTGGCTTCCTTCATACACAGCTCCAGCTCAGCTGTGGTTGTAGGTGTTTGTGTCCACCCCAAAATTCCTACGTTGAAATCCTAACCACTACTACTGAGTAACGGGGCCAACACATTTCGAGCAGAGGTATAACACCAATCAGATGTGCTGAGCTTGAATGCCACACTAGAGGGACATCCAAAGCCTCTGCCCTTGCCGTTCCAACTACACGGACCAGCCTGGGCCGCCCTGGTGTGCGTAGGATTACGTGAGCCAGGCTTTATCAACTGGGGAAGCCAACAGGGCTTCCCCACCCACGGTCCTGAGAACATCCTGAGCGCCACTGAGGAAACAATTTGAGCTGTAGGGTTTCAGCTCCACTGTGGGAAAGTTAGACCCACTAGGACACAAAAGTCACAGAAGTACTATTTTCCTTTATTTGATTTGATGCTTTTCCTCCAGCACTGAGCTGATGGGAATGAAACTCAAACACTCCCACAGAGGGTGCTCTGTTTCTCAGAGGAACAGAAGACCCCGCTCCTAGACCCTTCTCCTTTCCCTCCCTCCTTGCTGCCTGCAACAGGCCTGAGTTTTGTGCTTTGCCACCTGTGGGAAAGGGAAGGCAGAAACTTGCTCCTGGGGAAATGCCTTCCCCAGCCCAGCATTTTGGGGGTGGACCTCACTGTGTCTGGGGAGTCACACCGAGTCAGGGCAAGGCCGCAGCTGGAGGTCAGGTCTATGCTTTCCCCGGCACAAGGAGATTTGTCAGGGATGCAGCCAGCCACACAGGAGAGTGCGGGGTGGGCAGAGTAAGATAGGTTCATCCGAGGTCAGACTGACAAGGGTGGATCTGAGCAGAAAGGCCCAAAGACACGAGGAATCATAAAAGTAACAGTCACCGCTGGCCAGTAAACTTTCTAGTTTACATAGTGCTTAATGTACACAGACAGCAAACACCAAATCCAAGTCTGAATCACATTCTGGATCTGCGCCTGGGGAGCTACGCCGATGGGATGAGGAAAGGCAGGAGGCCCTCAAGACCCTGGAGCTGTTGACGCCCTGCCCTGGCCCAGCCACTCTGCCGTTTTCCCAGGATGAAGACTACTGTGCTATCTTTTCTAAAAACTATATATGCATACCACCACCCCACACACAAAAACCACCCGGAAACATAAAGGAAAAAGCCTCACACTTTCTTCTCTCAGCCTCTGCAGAACAACAGCCTCTGACTCTACATGTGTCTCAGTACAACAGGGGCAGGGCCCCTCTTCCATCCACCATGCCAGGGTTACCTCACTGCCCTGTGAGTGTGGTTTTGTGTTTGGCTGCCTAACAGTTCGCAGGTAAAAGCACCCCTCGGGAGGAGCCCAGCAGGTTATCAGGTGGCCTGAGCTTTTTATGCTGAGGACCACCTCCCTGTGTTCTGCAGACCAAGCTCCATGAACTCTGCTGCAGACATGAACAGTTGTTTTACCGAATAGTCAGATGAGCATTTATGTCGGTCAGGGTCCCTGCAGGAAAACAGATGACCCACGTTAATTAGAATTAATTTGAGGCATGTTTAATAAAGGGACTGTTTACATGGTGGGCAGGTGTAGGGAGCCCACAGGGGATGCACAACACACTGGGCTGTTAGTGGGACTGGGAGCTTTCCGAGCCCAGTGGGGGAGGCAGTTAGAACCCAAGGAGAACCCCCAGCCATGCGGAAGGCAGCTCCTTCCTCCCTCGGCCTCTTGTAGCTCCCATTGGGATCCAATGGGAAACTGCGGGAGGACAAGGGAGCCTGTGAGTGGCTGTACAGCTCATCTTTGAGGCAGAGAGCAAGGCAGAGTCCATTTATGGAAGGAAGTGGAGCAAAAAGAAAAGAAGAAGATACACAGCGCAATAGTCTGAGACAGTGCCGAGCAGAGGAGCAAGAGGGGTGACTTTATTCACTCCACTGCGATAAGGAGAGGCCACCGAATGCCCCTTCCTTCCTGATCTTGCCGTCTCCCTAGCCCCCCATCTTCCTCTCCTCGCCCTTCCTCACATGCTCCAGTGTCTCCACCCAACTCCCTGAGAATTCCCCATCCCTCCGCAGCCTAGCAAAGGAGTCCCAGCCCTCTGCCTCTCCGAGTCACACAAACGCCACAGTGAGACCGCGACCCTCAGGACTGGACCGGAGCTGCCACGTACGCCCCTTGAGAAGGTTGCAGAAGCTTCTCAGAATGGCTGGTGCTGGAGCAGAGGGCTGGGGGTGGCTGCAGGAGTAGGGAGAAGGGGGAAGGCACCTTTCTCCATTAGCAAGGAGCTGCTCAGAAGAGCACAGCTCATCACTGAGAGTATTCATTTTCTCCCTACAACTGCCCAGTCTGGACACCTCAGGAAGGAAAAGTCTTTGCAATGAAATGAAGTTGGTTGTGAGTCTGATGGAGTCTAGGCTGGGTGATTTTTCAAGGTGTTGTTGCTATTGTCAGTGTTTCCTGTGACCTACTGAATCCTGATTACTAGTCCCTGGTTACTAATGCTATGTAAAAAAGCTATTGACTTTTTTTGCACAGTATAGTGTTGTACGCCTGTAATGTCAGCATTTGGGAGGCGGAAGTAGGAGGCTCACTGCAAGTTGGAGGCCAGCCTGGACTACATGGTAGGTTCAAGGCCAACCGGAACTACCTTTCCATAGTTGAGACCCTGTCTCAAAACAACAACGAGAACAAACAACAAGGCTATTTTTTTTTTTTTTTTTTTACTGAGGATCCAACTCGACATTGTGCTTTCAAGGCAGGTGGCAGCACCGCTGAGCTAAATCCCCGGCCCAAGACTATGGATTTTTAAAAATATTTTCCTTGGACTTGGTTGTCCTTTTAAAATTTTCCATTAGTTCACTGGATTGACTTAGGTTTGTCCAGGGGTAAGCCATAAAGTACTGCTCTTCCTTTTCCAGTATCTTGTCACTCTTTGTGTAATAACTGCTAAAACATTATTAAATAACAGTAGTGACAACAGAAAATGTGGATTTTACTGGGAATGTCTCTTTTTCTCTTTACTGTTAAGCATATTTGAATTAAGCACAGCATTAATATTAGTTTTGTTTTGTTTTGTTTAGTTGTTTTTTGTTTTTGTTTTTGGTACTGGGGATTGAACTTGGGATCTTGCATTTGCAAGGCAGGCAACGGAACCATTGAGCTAAATCCCCAACCCAATATTAGTTTCAAGGTAAATAGGCTTTATCCTGCTGAAAGAAAATTAGAGTTTTTGTTTTGTTTTGTCTTTTGCAGTGCTGGACATCAGACCCAGGGCCTCCTACCTGCTAGGCAAACACTCTCCCACTAAGCTACAACCTTAGCCTGAAGTGGGTTTTCTTTGTTGTTTTTTTTTGTTTTTGTTTTTGGTACCGGGGATCGAACTTGGGGGATTGAATTTGGGTTCTTGCG